GTCATAAATACACACACAGCATGTCATGAACACACACAGCATGTCATGAACACACACAGAGCACGTCATAAACACACACAGCACATCATGAACACACACACACACATAGCATGTCATAAACACAAACACACAAAGCATATGCGAATACACACAAAGCTCATACTAACACATACATGCACACGCACATAGAGCATGTCATGATTCCTGGTTTAGGAAGATACCAGGTAAGATTATGCACTTCACAGAGTTATAAACACTCTTGAATTTTCAGCTGTTAGCATTAGGGAGCCACATGAGACTCAAACAGGCCTCTCTCTGTGCAGCTCTGTTCAAATCTCAACTTCAATGACTGAAAAGGCTTTAGCTATTATAAAATGATAAAGAAAAATTACACATGTAGACACAACTCTAAATCCAATTAAGAAATAAATGTTGCTTATTAATCCAGTGTAACTACATGGGCTACGGACTTCTGTGCTTGGCACTGTCATATATTATAGAGACACAGAAGGCAAACCAAAAGAATTAAAGCTGCTTTAAATCCACTTGAGCATAAGCAAATAACATTCAAAGGGACAAGAGCTCCCTCCTTGACTCACACATATTTCTGTTTCCAATCAGATAGCGTAACCACAAACACAGGGCAGAGCTGGTTACAAGTAAGTGTGAGCCTCTGGCTGCAGCTCAGAGGAGCCTCCATTTCCCTCTCAGCATTATAAAAATTATGGGATCTACCTCAAGGGTTTGTATCAGGCTGAAAGTGCAGAAAATAGGAAGAACCCAGGACAGAGCTGGGTATAGGCTGCTCTAGATCAGGAACTGGCACACGACAGGTGTAACATGTTCATTTTTCTGTTGGGGCGGCATCATTTAGAGCAACAAAGGAACAAGGAGAGGTATGGAAACTGGACAGGGAAACAGTGTTGCTACAGAGGAAGTCCTGAGTATTCACAATAGGCACACATGTAAGCAAAGCAAGAATAATGCCGGGAACAAGGCTGCCAACAATCATGACACTCACAACAATATAGGAAGAGGAATACATCAGCAAACGATGATGAAAGAGTGGCCTGGTGAGCTAAGGACTGAATCTCGTTTTTCAGTGTGTGCACCTTTACCCAGACAACTATAGTTTACCCCAGTTAGTGATTTCCTAAATTCCCACACCAGCCCCACATCCCAGCCGCTTTTGCAGAAGAACATATCATGTGACCAGTTCCAGTCGGTGTGAGTGGTGTGGCTCTTCTGCCTGGAAGCACTGAAGAGCTGTGTGCCATCCTCTGGCTTCTGATAGGGAAGCCACACAGGAAGACCACAAAGCTGTGGAGGAGCCTAGACTGGGGAGTTATTGGGTCATAGAAGCTGTCTGAAGAGAAGTCTGGACCCAAGGACAATAGAGAACTCTCCTGAAAACTACTGTGTGGTACCAAGATATTCAGATAAATACACACACACATACAAACATGCATACACGTAACTTAAACACAACATATACACGGAACTGTATTTGAGTAACCAGCTCTAATCTGAGTAGTGCTTAAGATGTAGTAGAAACCTTGGCTCAGTAAACTGCCACAAAAATGGATTTATAAAATCATGTGACTGTAGAAGGAGGGCCATTTGTGGGAAAGAAGAGACAAGAGATGAGGGGTTAATCATGAGCAAAACACAATGATATACATGCATTGTGGAAATAGACACCTCTTCTACTTTTTGAGATGGGGCACCCGCTAGCCGAAATATCACTATGTATCTGAGGATGACCTTGAACTTTGATCCTCTTGCCTCTTCCTCCTGAATGCTGGGTGTACACCAACTCATGCGGTGCTGGGGATTGAAGCCGGTGTTTTAGGAATGCAAGACAAGCACTCTACTAGCCAAGAGAAAGCCTCAGCCCACAAACCATCTTATGTGTGCAAACTAGAAAAAGTCTCAGAAGACAGAAAAATGATTTTTTCCCATTCCACCATAATTGGAGCAGCCTTTGAAAGCTTGTAAGTTCCTGTGCCCTGCTCCCTCAGAAGTGTGAACAAGGCAATCGACTGAATGACTGATCAGATTCAGATACTCAATAAACTTTCCAGGCATCTCTTTTTTAAAAAAATAATTTATTTTAGATTTGCTTAATTTATTATTTTGTGTGCATGAGTGTTTTGCCTGCATGTTTGTCTGTGTACCACATGCATGCCTGGTTCCCAACTAGGCTGTAAGCCTCCATGTGTGTTCTGGGAATCAAACCCGGGTCCTCTGCAAGGACAAGTGCTCTTAAACACTGAGCCAACTCTCTAGCCCCCAAGTATCTTTTTAAAGGTTTTATTTGTTACCATGGGAGAGAAACCATTCCCCAAGGAAGTTTGCACACTTGCATAATTAAAAATAAACCACAGTTTCTGGGCTAAAGGGTACATACCCTGCCTCCATGAAGCTCCACTCCGTAGAAGTCAAGGGTCCGAGCTATGTTGATGTAGCAAGATTCGGCTTCTGACTGCTTTAGCCCACTGCAGAAGAGAAGAGAAGATGCAAAACTCACCTAACAGGTGAAGAACATTCACTGGAGCTCTTCAAAATTAAAAATACCTGGAAAACACGGTAAAAGCCCTCCGTAATAGTTACTAAGGGTTACTAAAGGCTTTGTCCTTGTCCCCCGTAAGCACTCCAACTTTAAATTCTAATGAAGCAGGTTTTTCTTCTTGTCTATGGAATCTGACCTCTAGACCCCTTGGATTTCTACTAAGAGACACTCCCCACTTAGTGGGTTCTCAAAGAGGTCTTCAGACAGTGAAAACTATCTATCACCTTTCAAAACGCCTGCCCTCAAGGAGCCAGGTTGCTCAATTAATAGGTGATCTTTCATCGTTTTTTGCTTGTCTATTCTCTCAACAGTGTCCTCACGCTTCAAAACCCAGTGGGCCTGTGCTATTTTCGGACGCTGACTTCTGTCCCAGGAGCAATTCCGGGAGAGAGGGCTGGCAGAGCCCTCAAGGTACGCTGGTGGCTTGCCCTTTGTTTTTATGGCCTTCCCGAGAAATAAGATGTCTCTGAAGAGCTGGCCTGGGTCAGCATGGTCCTCATTTAATGGGAACAGAACAGCTGCCACAGTAGCTTTGAGTCACATGAGGAGCAGGAAGGAGAGGCTGGGAGTGGGAAGTATTTGTTAGAGGCAAAGCTTGGCCCAAGGCAATTCCCTCCATGGAGGAAAAGCAGTTTGGATCCTGGACTACCCACCCTGTCAGCTCTCCAGTCCACCTGCCTCTCCACTCAACAATACCTGAGGGAATGGTCTTTTTTTTTTTTTTATTAAATGGGGTAAACAGCTAAAAGGTATGTCTGGGTCAATCAGCTTGTAAGCCAATCCATCAGACTGAAAATGGGCATTTCCTTGAGGAATTAACTAATGTCTGTGGCATCTCGAAGGGGGAATGTCCCAGCTATCACCCTCAATTTCTATTGCATTTTATGCTTCACAAAAAAACGCACGTGATGCTAAATATATATTTGCTACCATCCCAGCTTAAAGGTACAAAAAAAACCAAACAAACCAACAAACAAACAAACAAAAAAAACATAGGCAGGCCAGGGAGCATCAAACACAAAGTGATGCATTATCTATAGACACCCAGACTGAGTTCCTAAGCCCCCCTCCCCCAGTCCCCGCACCTGTGCTGTTTATGGAGCGACTCCACCTTGCTTAAAAAGTCATCATTTTGATCGGGTATGAACTGGCTGTCGGCAAGATAGCCTGGATGATGTATGGAAGAATTAAAGTCTCCAAAATGAGCTATTGAGACACAATGAGGGAAAATCATAATTAGCCTTGCCTCTTCAGTAAGGTCTGCATCAACAAGCATCGATAACATTGCAAGAAATATCTCCTGTGGGAACAGTTCTGTCAAGCTCTGAGCTGCGTGAATCAGCTCCTCTTCAGTTTCCAATTCCATGCTTCTAATCTGAACCTCTGCTTAGGGCTAAATTCCATGTAAGTACAAGGGTGGCAGGTGAGGGGCGGACGTGGTTAAGCTCACAATAGTGCGCTTAAAAAGATACCACTAGGATGTTCTTACAGGCACCCAGCGAGGAAGCAATGTATCTTCACTGGCATTCACATGAAGAAGGGAACAACTGAGAGCCAGGGAGAGGGGACCCACCCCTAACACAGGCTGTTTTCAGCAGAGTGAAGGCCTAGGTGATAGGGATCTGTTTGTAGCCTACTTCCCCTGCCTGTCTGTCCAGGGAGCTGCTAAGTCTTCTCTGGATGCCCTGAAGGGTCAACAGAGTGCTGCAAATGCTTTTCCCAAGTCTAAAGGCAGAAACCTCTTTAATCTTCCTGTTGTTTTCATTAGCTCATGGAGGGCCTTCGGAATCATGTTTGTTCATCCGGTTAGCTAGTTGTCCTAACCCAGCTTCCATTCGACAGGAACAAACTATAAACTTCTTGCTTTAGCAAAGTCACTAACAAACATTTTGATCAACAAAGACCAGCGAAGAACCTTCCTTCGGGTGTGTGTGTGTGTGTGTGTGTGTTTCCACTTGACATCTTATGTGCCACTCTGTGCAAAGCTCTGAGATAACCACTAGGGGGAAACATTTAACAGACACAGTTATACACATTTGCAAAAGCCTGGGGGGGCCCGGGGACCCGTGTCAGTGACATCATCTCAGTGGAGGGCTTGAGCAAATGGTCCCTACATGCCCCAAAACACAAGTGACTATTATTAAACAGACAAGAAGACAGAACAAAAGGCAGGGCCTGCATCCCTACACTCTTACCAAAGGGGCCTGTCTTCTACCTGCTGACCACATGCCCTACTAAACTCAAGATCCCAAGCACCCATGTTTCAAGCCATCAATCCGGCCCCACGGGTAAGTCCTGCCATTATTCTAGCTCTAACCTGATCCTGGAGCCTATTCTTGGGGCTCATTCCTCTGATGCTTTCCTAGACTCTCCTCCTCTCCCCCCAAAACATTATGGCGTAACTATATACTTTCCAAACCTTCTTTTCCTGGGCCTCATTGCTGCTAGACAGCAGCACTCTTCAGCCACTGGGCACAAAGTATTTTACCTCTCAAACATTGTACTTTTGAATCTAATAAGAAACTGCTCCAGAGAGCCGATCACAGATAGGACCTAAACACTAGACACCCATCTTGGAACAACCTGACAAAATGTAGTTAGTATACCTTCTGAGCCACTAATTTTATATCTAAGAATTAGTCCTATAAGGAATGTACACAGAGTATGCAAATACACACACATATATATATATATTTTTTTTATCAAGGCTTGAAGAATGTAAAGACCTTATACTTCAAACCATCTGACAACACATGATTTATTAGTACGACAGCAACGCATGGTTCTTTACCTCAGCCATTTTATACCTTTTAGGGTCAGTGGGAAGCCTGTCAGCAACGCTTGAAACAGGATGTCTTAAATGTAGGGCTCTAATTTTTCTCTAATTATAGCTTATCATTTATCACAGGCAACTTTTAAACTTAATTTTAATTTTCTATGGTACATGTGGAGGTCAGATGACAGCTTTCAGGCGTCAGTTCTCTCCTTCCACTGTGGGTACATTGGCTGAACTCAGGCTTCCAGGCTTGGCCATAAGTGCTTTTATGCAGTAATCATCTTGCCCACCCTATAAACAACTTAACAGTTTTTTTCTGGACTGACAGAAAAGACAGCAAGAGTTAAGACTAGCGAAGAGTTCTTCATACAGTGTTTCATGTTCTCTTCCCTACAGCCCTATAAAGTAGAACGGACACTTCTAGTCTTGCGTCTTCTAGTCACACCAGGCCTGTAAGGTCAAGTCATGCAGACAAGAGGAAAAGCCAAGACCCAGACAACATGATTTCCATTCCTGTTCTCACTGACTCAGCTGGTGTTGGTTCAGCTTTAAGGAATTGTTGGCTATAGGCCAACTTCAAGCATGCTGTTTAATTGGAAGCAGCCATAGTGCATAAGTACCAGGGATGCCTCCACTCACAGGCAGGAAGCCCTGTGAGGTTCAGCCGGGTGAACCACAAGGACACGTGAATAGGGTAAGGCTACCCTGAGCACAATTCTCTCCTACCTCGAGTCTTGCTCCCCAGCCCACAGCTCCACAGCTCCAGCTGTGAACATCCAGCTTCAAGTCCCTGCTGGTGGCTGATCAGCCGAGGAGAAATGGGAGCCACAAATCTAGAGATTGATGAGGACATGCTGACTCTGGCTATGGGTCATAGCACACTGCCCTCTTTTACGACACGGTTGACATCATCTTAATCATAGCAGCTGTAACTACTGTCTCAGAGCCTCCCAAGACAGGGCCTATAACTTTCCCTCCTAGAAGGCTTGAGGAGCTTTATTAGCCCTTCACTTCAGAGTCCAGCCACTCACTCTCCCCACCCCAGCTCTTCCTGGTCTCAGAAGGTGGAATGTTAACTGGGGGTCACCCCACTCATGCAGCTTTGGGGCGATCATCATCCATGCAGGGTGGGACTTTGATGATGCAGTCAGCCACAGTCCTTTAAAGCACAGACCCAGAAGTGGACTTGGGTGGAATGGTTTCTTTGGTCTATTGTTGTCCTGTCTCTTGGTCAGTTCTTTCCAGGAAAAGTCATACACAACCATTCCCTGTGTGGATGCACCACACTGGTCTGTCCTGGAGGAGGAAACGAAAGAGCTTCCTGTCATGAGGAGAGGAGGCTGCTGAGATGAGCTGATGGGTGGGCCTCACCAGTGAGGAGGCCTGCTGTACGCTCAACATCATGGGGTCACTCCCAATATCCTCTTTCCCCCATTCTCTGGTTCCATGTGGTAGGCAGGTAAGCTGTGGGCACCAGCCTCGGTCAATACCTCTCTTGTTTCTGTCCTGGTTGCTAAGGGAGGAAGTGCACCTGGGGCCTCCCCCTAATTTTCCCTTTCTTTCTTTTTCGCTATCATGCTTCTTGAGGCCACAGTAAGATAGGTATTTGGCCTGCACCTGCTCTGAGATCTTGCTTTCTCAGCTACCTGCCGTGCTGTTGACTGAGGCTTCTGGAATGGGGTGTGTGTATGTCTTACGCTACGCTGTGTGATTCCACACAAGCAACATGGTGCTCTGTGCTGGCACAGCTAATGAATGGCAAAGTGGAATCTCACCATTCAAGGGACAGGACACCAAATATGCTTAATTAAGTTTTGCTGACATGGAGCAGAGAGATCTTTTCCGTAGTTTAAAACAGCCTTGGTGGAAAATTTACCCAGACATTCTATCCACTGTGGCATCTGCAGTTAAGTGTGGCTTGTTCAACTTGAAAAATGTGCAAATTGCAAAACCAAGGCTGGATTTTAAAGATTTAGTTAAAAAGCAAAGGAAAGCAAAACAAAACAAAACAACCCCCACAAAAATTGCTCATTCATTTTTATGTTGACTATATATTAAAACAAACATTTTAATGGGCTAAATAAAACATTAACATTAAATTATTTTCTTCATATAAATATATTTTTAAGGAGGGCCTCAGACTCACCATGGAGCTGAGGATGGTTTTGAACTCGTGATCATTCTGCTTCTGAATGGTCATAGACCACTGTAACCCATTAGCTACACTGAAGCTCTGAAGAGAAATTTGTAAGATCTCAGTAGCATTTCAGACAGGCATCAAGCAAGCAGCAGGAGTACCTTCCAGCAAATTCCTTAACCTAGCCAGGCCTTGGCTTCATTTGCAGAGGAGGTGAGGGATATAAACATTGTTCCACTGGGGTTTGTACACAAACCAGATCCAAATACCTGGGCAGAGGCTCTGGAAAAAGCCAGTTGTAGCCGTCTGCTGTTTCATAGCTCCCTGGGGAAAAAGAAATGCCACACTCCGTCCCCCAGCACCACTGTCCATCTGATATCCCCAAGGAGACAGTGTGGCTCAGGTTAAAAGTTCTACTCTTATAAGACAGCAAGAGATGTGCTCCATGCCAGGCATCCTGGGGTCTAAGAGACTTGGCCAAAGAGAGCAGCCGGTGGCCTTCTTGATACGCTTGCTCCCTTGAGTGGCCGCCACCTAGTTAGCCTCCCTCAGGACTTACATTGTACTGCATAGGACGCTAGAACCACCGCTGAGTTGAGAGGGCAGGTTAACCTGTCAGGAGAAATAAGGATTAGGTAAGTCAGAAGAACCATAGACACTCATAAATCACAGATAGCCCATAGCTTTCTTTTCTTCATTAACTGTTAATGAACAACGTGAATTTTAAAAGCAACTACAATACAAATCCATCTTGGATGGCACATGGAATACTTTAAAGTTTTGTTGTTTTTTTTTTTTGACGATAAATAAAAAAAATAGTAACTTTTGCTTCAAAATTGTAACTATTAGAAATTGTAAATACCAGAAAGCAAATGGTCTGACAGTAGACAGCTCATACTCTAAGAGGAAATGTGAGAAAATGGAATCTGAGGTAAACACACAGCCTTCCATTCTTTCCAGTAAAGACCTGAGATTTTTTTTGAAGGGCTTTGGCTACCTCCTGGAGACTCTAGGATTCTTAGGTACTGCCTTTCTGGGATGGTAATGAAAGAGAAAACTAGAAGGGAGAAAAAAAAAAAAAAGGGCATTCTGCATTTTAACATTTGCAGTTCTGTAGTTATAGTACTTAATTTACTAACTACTGACTTTGCTGAAGTTGACAGGGTTCAAATACCTGCTTGCCTGTTTTCTGCCACCCACTAGAAATTCACAGCCCCGGCCTGAATTTGTTCTTATTTCCATCTCAACTCACTGTCCTTCCAAATGCTTGTTCTCAGTGATGCTACCTGCCTTTAGAGCTCTTTTCTCCATTCAGACCTGACTCTGTTCTGCTCAAGAGCTCCGCCAGCAGGACTAGAGCAAGGGTCACTGCTGAATGGAGGAATGGGCCGGAAAAACCTAGGGGCAGCGACTAGGAAAGGGAGCCATCCTTACCAGCAATACTGGGAGGCAAGGAGATTTTAAAACCATCTTCCAGCCCCGGGGCAAGCTGAGAACATGTAGTTTCCATGGCAGCCCATGAAGTTCCTACGTGTGAGTCATCCCATTTGCCAGTCTAATCTGGTTGGCCCCAACAGTTTCCCTGTCTGTCCCCTGGACTCCTGCTGGTTCTGAAGGTGCACACAGAAGCAGCATTCCCCACCTGAAGGCCCCGGACCACTGCGGCCACTTGTGCCTCTCTGAGTCTGTGGATGTGTTCTAGGATTCCCCGTTGTCTATCCATTTTGAGCCACAGCATTTTTAGGAGAGCAGGTAGACAGATACGTGGTGAACAGGCTGTTACTGCCTTACTAAGAAGAGTTTCACGTTAACATCTAGCCAATGCCTCTGCTAGAAGACAGACAGCTGAACGGACTTGAGGGACAGCCTAGAAACAGCTATGGAGGCTCAGACTACATGGAACACGGCACAGAAGAATGACAGCCTGGATTCTCCTCTCAGCCTTCCATATGCTCTTCTGCATACTTCTCTTTCTCTGTGGTCCAGGCCTCTACGTGTCAGGTGACTGCCCTGGTTGAGCCGTCTCTGCCGAGAAGAGGTGGTCCCCCAGTTCTGGCTACCACTGACTATTCAAGCAAGTCAGAAGATCTGAAATCTCAGAGAAAATGCTAACTGCACGACAACACCTGTGGCCACAGATGGCTTGAGACACACCTGAGATGAGCTTGAGGGCGGGCGGTGAGGGCCTACCGGAATCTCCTCCAGGCGGCAGAGTCCTACTAACCATCTGGAAATTCCAAAGGGTACCTTGGTCTTGAAGAAGCAAAAAGGAGGACAACGTAGCACCGGAGTTTGGAGTATTTAACAGTATTCATGGAAAAAACATAAATACTGTTTTTCCATAAATAACAGTATTTATGGGAAAAAAAAAAAAAACAAAGTGTCTGTATATAAGGGTGCTTATAGGGAACAGGTTTCCCTGACTGCAAAGAGCAGCTCAAGAGGGGAGTCCAGCAGTTCAACATGGGGTTGTCCTGAAGAGGCAACCTCGGAAATGTGGAAACCCCTCCTCCCCCCACTGTTCTATAGCTTGTGCTGGAGAAGTGAAGTACCACTGCTTTGGGAAAAGGAGACAGAACTCATGGAGATCCTGTACTCTGTGCTCACTCAACAGTTCTGCCAGCCCCTTCAGGGAGGCTCCTGTCCCTGGCTGGCAGGACTGTAGCAGAGGGAAACCCTGATCTCCTCCAGTCTCTCCTAGGGCACACAGACACCATCTCTACCACGCATATCTCTTATCAGCCTGTAGCCTGCTTTAAGACCCTGCAGCTACTCACTTCCGCATGCTGGACGTGAGATACTCACCTCCACTGGGCATGAAAAGACCCCCTTCCCCCTGTCCCCAGCTCTGTTTTCCTGCAAGTAAACCACATATGGCTTCCAGCTGAAATGAGGGATGGGAGGGCCTTCCTGATGTCCCGGGAAATCCGACTTCTCTTTTCTCCACCAATCTTAAATTTGGCTAATCCTAGCACCGCACAAAGACTTTTCTAGGCCATGGATGGTAGCAGAAGAGTTCCTGAAATCCTATGCCAATTGTGATTCCTGCTGCCTGTATTGGTCTCACTTGCTTCATGGGCTCCCTGTCTCATGTCACGAGCCTCGACTGCCAGCCTCCTTGTGGTGCAGCAGGATGTGGGATTGAGGAGAACTGAAGTAGATGGGGCTCTTTTCCTACTGCTGGGTTTTTGTTTGTTTGTTTGTTTGTTTGTTTTTTGTTTTTCATAAGCAAAGGGTCCAGCAGGCAAGAAGGCTCAGTAGATAAGGGCGCTTGCTCCATATGCCTGGTTCAATCCCTAGAACCCATGTAAAGGTGGAAGGAGAGAACCAACTCCACCCATGTATTATCGTGCATACATGTACATATGGACACATTCACATGCATATACACATTCATGCATTTAAAAAATTAAAAAGAAGATACAATAAGTATTTGGAAGAAGGAGTTCTGGGGGCTTGGAATTTTAATTCTTTTCTGGCCATTCTCAGATACCTTCCAAGCACTGAAATGGCCTGAATACACCCAGAATGATGACTCAAGCAGATGCTCATGTCTGAACACAATTCCTTCCAGAGAGAAGATGAATCACCCGTAAGTACCATGGGCACACCAGTGGCTAACTTACACCTATTTCTATCTGAACTGAAGCCTATTTTCAGAGTCTTTCCTTCCCCTCTAAAATTCCCCAGGTCTTTACCAGAGAGATCACTGTATGCTTTGTAATAAAACTGTAGGAAAGTGGAATGAAGTTTCTCGATCATGAGTTTCTGCAAACCAAGATGGAGTTGAAAACAGCCTAATATACAGGCTAATTTGAGAACTGCTGCCAGGAATGTACACTCATTAGATTAAAGCCAGGAATCTGGCTAGTCTGACAGGAAAATAATGCATAATTCTCATTACCTTCCTTCACAAACATCCATCTTCAGTTGTAAGAAATACAAGTGCCTAGGAAACAAAGGAGCTCGTTAAGGAACGCTCAAGACGCAATAATCAAGGAACAACAGCAAATATGCACATTTGAAAAGCAGAATATATGCAGAAACATGTTACCTGTTTGCAAACCGCCTAGGTGTTCTGTGCTAGGGAGGGCTGAGGAGATGGATGGGGTGGGAACCAAAGGTGTCCCACCTGCTGCATGGGCCCTCAACTAGGCATGGGAACCCACAGCATTCTGTACAAGCTGCCCGGGCACACTCACGGGCCACTGCTCTAAACACCGCGCCGGCACCCCCCCCCCCCATTTCTCTGTGCGAGACTGCTAAGAAGTGGGCCTGTGGAGACCACACCTTGCTGGAGTTCAGCACCTAGCTGGGCTTTTTCCTGTAGCCTAAGAACTACGGGTGCTGGAGCAAAAGTCTTGGTAGCCTCACTGCCAGGACCTGCAGCAGAGTCAGCTCTGAAAGCCCAGAGTTGTCCTTGGGGGCAAACCACTCCAGGCCCCTCTGCCCAGCAGGCTGAATCTCTGCCCTGGGACAAGGAGAAGGAAGCCAACATCAACAGCCCTGGGAAGGCCAGGAAGCACTGTGGAGGCATTTATATTTAGGGACGCGGCATACATGTGACGCTTGGCTCTTATCTACCACTCTTTTTTAAAACCCAGATTCAAGCGGGATTGACATTCCAGGGTCTGGCCAAAGATGACAAAAGGGAAACCTCTTGAAAGCTAATACAGACAGCGCAGAGGTGCTGGGGGCGGGAGAGAGATCACTCTGGCAATTTAAACAAACCAGTCTCATATTCCTTGGGGTTGAGAAAGGTCAGAGAGCTGGCTGCTTTGAGACCTGGATGCTTCAAACTGCACTGCAACCTCCTATCTGCAGTCTGGGGCTGAGTGCCTGGTAGTCTTGAGATTTTCTTCCTCACTTCAGCCTTCCACTCAATCTGTGAGGTTCTAACACCTTCTCTGTTTTAACTTATTAAAATTTTATGATAAAGAACCTGCAAATTGAAAACATCACACTACAAAATTAAGCAGACCTAGAGACTGTACATCTCAACAAACTCTCTAGAGCCAGAATTACCAATCTGGGGAAATGAGGCTCAGAGGTTATATGGATTGGCTTGCTTGCCTTCCTTTATTTTGGACAAACATGCTATGAGAACAATGTCTGTGGCTTACATGAAAATCATTGCTAAGCCGAGGATCTGTGTCACAACTCTGACAGAATTATCAGCACTCTGCACTGTGCTGAACGTTGGGCACTGAGAGACAGTATTACTCACACAGGCATGAGCGGTTAGCCTTTTTTGTCTACCTCACTGAATTTAGAGTCACCATAAAAACACACCTCTTGGATGTACCTGATGGCATGTCCAGAAGGTTTAACTGAAGATGGAAGACCCAACCCCGAATCTGAGAAGCACAAACTCACAGACTGAGGTCCCAGACTGAAGAAAAAGAGGGAAGTGAGCTGAACACCAGTATTCATCTGTGCTTCCTGACTGTGGGTACGTGTGATCAGCTGCTTTACACTCCCATGGCCATGTCCTCTACCGGGATGGACTGTAGCCTCTAGAATTGTGAGCCGAAACAAAGTCCTCTACCCTTAAGTAGCTTCTTAAGTACTCAGTCACAGCAATAAAGAAAGTAATAAAATACTTGCGCTAATTCATGCCCACTCAGTAGCAGGATCATCTTTTCCACCTAGGAGAACACAACTAGTCCTTTCTAGTTGGTTTCTATGTTTATCCAAGCTAACATTCAACCAGAATTAAGCGTTCTCTCCTCCTGGAAGGATACTGGGAGAAAGAAGAAGGGTAGAGTTATGGATGATCTACTGATAAAAATCTGGGCTTTCACTGATGGGCATAAATGAGACCATGAACATGCAGAGATCCTTCACCAAATGCCACCTGGTCCTTTGCAAAGTGTAACAGCATGGTCTGCTGCTTTGTATTTGACTGTCAATTATTCTGCCTCCTGAGGTCTGCCTGCTGTCTCTTACGAGCACATTCTCACGTATAACTGTCCTTGAGAAAACCTTCCTCCACCTAATCTAAAGTGGATTGGTTACTAAAAAATGACCACACACCTGGGCAGGGCAGAAGCTAGGGAGGTGTGGCAAAGTTTGTGTGCTTGGAGGAAAAGAAGATCTTGGGAAGGAGGGAGGTACTGAAAGGGAGGGAGAGAGGAGCCTCGATGGGTTATGGTGGAGAGAGGCACACGGCTGGATTGGTGTGGATGGAGAAAAGCAGTTGCGATGAAGAACATCAGCAAGTATTGTGAGTTTATGGATGGGAGGCAGCCCAGAGAGAAATGATTAGAGCAGATGGAGTGGGCTGGGGGCTTGGGAGGTAAAGGAAGCTTAGATAGCATCTGCCCTGCCCCAGGTGAAATAAAGCTATTCTAGAATCTATCGGGTGTTTATGTCTTTCGCTGGTATGATATCAGGTTAGATAATGCTGCCGTAATAATTATGAGGCTAATAATAAGCATTATCAGCCCATACTTTTAAATTATCAACAGTAGCAATGCAAATCTGAATCAACCCCACAGAATCACATGTGAAGAAACAAGAATCACAGAATGCATCCCAAACTTAGGAGGCTTTGTCATTTTCTTCAGGGAACTCAAATTGTAATTAGAGATTGTCAGTAAGTGGAATGCTGCTTAGAATGATCTAAATTTATCAGTAACAGCAGGTGTGGAGGCTCACAATCAACAGACATGTAAGTACCCTTGAGAATAAAGGAGAGCTATCAGTGGGAGACACTTGGCACATCTAACTTTAGAAACGTTTGATGCCCTTTGAGAGTGTATTCCATCCAGATCCTGTGATGGCTAACTGTCAGTATGACACAAGCTAGAATCACCCAGGAAGAAAGTCTCAGGATCAGGTGGGCATGTGGGCAAATGTATGGGGACAACCTTAATTAAGTTAACTGATATGGGAGGATGCAGCCCGCTGTGGGCAGCACCATTCCCTAGGAATGATGGCCATGAAGGAAACTGAAGGGGACCACGAGATTAGCTGGCCCTGGGACCATCCCCCTCAAGCCTTTCCACTTGGAAGCTTGAGCATGCATCTAGGGTGTCACACACAAGGGCTCCAGCATCCTAGGGAAGAGATAAGGTAGACAGTGACAGACACCATACATGAGCTGGAACCTTTCAAGCTGAGTAAAATCAACTCAGTGGGCCACAATGGTCATTAAAAAAAGAAGAAACCATGACCATGTACACACATAATTCTTCAAGGGCGTTTATTTTGACTTTTTGCGACAGGGTCCTGTTACGTTGCCTAGGTTGGTCTCAAACTGCTGAGCTCAAGGGGCCATCCTGCATCTGCCTCCTACTCACAATCAGAGGCGTGTCCAGCTCTTCATGCAACTACAAAGCATCCCCCAACCAATATAAAATATGCTATTTTAGATGGTTTTGCTTTTGGTAAGGTAGTTTAAAACACATCCTGACAGCGGATGATGTCAGTTGGCTCATGATAAAACATGCTGGGCTGAGCATCTCAACACTGTCCCGAGTCCACCAGGGTAAAGAGCAATGTGGTGTTTGTGTGAAGGGGGAGGGTGTCGGGTGTGGAGGACGCAACAAACTGATTCAAAGCAGCGTGCACTTCACTGTGCCTTTTCAATGAGCCATCCAGGCCTCCCTTACACCGACTTCACATTTACCCTAGTGATAAACACAGTCCAGCCCCAAGGCCCGACTCTATGGGGAAAAACAGTACATACACAAGAAGAAAAAACAGTGTAATAAACCAACAACTGGCCTGTAAACATATTAAAAGCTAAAATTGTTGTGTAACTGTCTTTAAAAAAAAAATAAAGAAAAAAACCAGAGAGAATTCTGTCTGAGTTAATGGCATCTCTTTGGTGGGTTTTTTTTTTTTTTTTTTTTTTTTTTTTTGCCATAAAATGGGATTCAATAATGCAGAACAGCTTCTGCTTCTTCCCAGGGAGATAGTTTCCCTCCTTACGAACAACAAGGGGATATATAACAAGAGGCTCAGCATGGTCACAAGGCAGGGTAAGTGGCTGGCACAGTCTTCCATCCCGAGGCAATGGCTCTCTCACTGCACCCTTCCCGTCCTGCACACTCAGATTGCCCACCCAGAAAACCCACTTGCCAGGACCAACCAGAGCCAGCACAGCCTGCGGGGTAAACACTATCACTGCTCTCCTTCCCTTATCTGCCTCGCAAACTTCCTGCACCTGCTGATTCACAGCAGACAAGCTGGGTCCAGCCAGAACCCATTCTCCCTCCTCACCCTGCCAACGGGGACCTGATGGAAAGTTCTGGTTATTGCTAAGCCTTGTCATCCTCAAGGGACTTCATGGTAGCCCCACATTTTTCATACTGTGCACTCTGTGCGTGGCTGCTCTACCCCAGGCCCGTTTTGAAAGAACTGACTTCATGTCCTCAGTATTCACAACGCTCAGCAGCCAGAGGCGGGAAGAGAGAAAGGGTGCCCATGCGCTCGCCGGAAATTTATACCTGAATGGGGCTGAGGGATGCAGGCTGCAAACCTGCTGATCAAAATTTCAGTCTCTGTAACCCCGTTTTTACTTGGATCATGATGGTTGGGGATGACATACCCAAACGAAGTTACTTCAAGAGGAAAAGGTCGTTACCTGGTTTGCTCCTGCTGCAGTGTGTTGGGATCAGGTATAAAATATCTTACTCGAAAATGCAGGGTACAGGGGAAACCTCCTACAACATTTTTCAAAAAACAAATTAGGTTTTTCCTTTAAAAAAAAAAAAAAAGTCAACATACACAGTTGCTACTCTCCCATAAAGGGAGCACTTTTCACTCCACCGCAACACTTTCCATTATAAAAGCCCCGGTTTCAGACCTACTGTTTATCTGAAACAGTGTTTCAGATAACTCCTGTTTAGAAGGTTCCACAGACACCAAATGTACTGATATAGCATTAGACTGTGGTTCCACCCACTTCCGGCTGGATGTTTGCCTTAGGCCCTGTTCAAACAATGATATCTGTATTAAGAATGTTTAAGAGTCTTAAATCAGCATCTACCCATGAAACTCACAAAGAATTGCAGTAGAACTTACACTGACATAGTAGCTTAGGCCTGCTCAACACTTCCATGTAGCATCTAGAACTTAAACACCACCATGGCTACCTGCGGGGTCAGGGGTTATATTTTACAGACACAGGGACGCAAATGGCCCTGGGGACCAGGCAGCCAGGGAGAAGACCAGAACATCTGGTAGCACTGAAGCCTTTGACTCGTTTTTTTTTAACTGGAAAGCTGGAAGCGGCCACTGTGATCCTGAATGCCACCCTGCAGGTCACTCAGATATGACTTCTGCGTTCAACACCATGGGCTTGTTTGCTTGTGTGGATAAAAACAAGCCGTGTGTCTGATAGAAGATCAGACATGTTAGCGTTAGATCAGACAGTGTTGCCAAGACACGGGGAGACCTTGTTGATGTCACCCTGTCTCTAGCACTTGGTAGATATGCCCAGGTCCTGTCTCCTGGCTCACCTAGTACTTTCAGGCTCTCTGAAATTCAAGTCCTTCTGTGGTCTGCCAAGCTGGCTGATCTTTCTGCTCATCTTGCCTTCTGCTTTGGTTCATCGTGGCTCTACCACTCTAGTTGACAAACTGCCCCCCCTCCCCCCCCCATCTCTTAGTTGTTTCCTTTGTCACCTCTGGGCTGGTACTAAAAGAATCTTTAATGGTGGGTGGGTGCCTCTGTATACACACCTAGCTGCCAGTGGGTGGCGCTAGCTCTGTAGCAAAGTTTTTCCATTTAGTGTCCCTCTTCCACCATTGTGATTCTGGTGCCTCAGGCATAGTAGCTTTGTCTTTCTTGTTTCTTCTGTGGACTCAGAGCATATGTGTGTGCGTAGTACTATCAGGGATTCCTCTTTTCTACTTCTACAGTTGACCATGAGACAGGATTGAAAGCAGGTTTGGACTGCATTTCCCCGGCTTAGCACAATGCTTTGCCTTGGTCTGAGCACTGGGGATGTGTTTGGTGCAAGGACCAGCCAAAGAATGACAGACAACAGCTACCTATACCTCACGTGACTGGCCACCTCCTGTGTGTCAAAAATCATGAAGGGTCCAGAGAGGAATACAGTCAAGGTCCCCTATCTTGCAGTCCTGAGAGACAGTTAAAAATGCCTCACTGTGAAATAACAGCAAGAGTGCTCAGCCACAAAGGAACAAAGAAATGAGAGGGAAGGAGAGAGTTAGCACTTCCTTTCAGATAACAGGAGATATCTGTGGAGCCCTGAGGAGTGGCAGGAGATGGGCCCAGGGACAAGGAGAAAAGCATCTCCTTCAGAGGGAGGAGACCAGAGGAAGTCCTGTAGATTGGTCAAGTCAGAGGAAGTCCTGTCGACTGGACAACAGGTACCAATCAGGGCCAATGAGAGCCACAAGGGAGGCCAGGCTGAGAAGAGCTGACCAGAGGGTAGGCTGAGCACGGCTGGAGTAGCTGTCTCAGTGGGAGCTGAGAGCAACACAGGACCCCACTCACAATGAATAACCCAGCGTCTATCTATCACAAAGTAAGAGGGTTTGTGTCTATTTCCTTTTATGTGCGCGATCGTGTGTGTGTGTGTGTGTGTGTGTGTGTGTGTGTGTGTGTGTGTGCTCTCGTGTGCGCGCAGGTGCCTGCATGTCTGTGAGGAGGCCACAGGCTGACATCAGTATTGTCCTCCACTGCTCTCCATCTAGTTTTTCGAGACAGAGTCTCTTACTGAACCTGTAGCTCATCATTTGGCTCGATGCTCTAGCCAGCAAAGTCCAGGAATTCCTCTGTCTCAGCTTTCCCAGTGCCGGGATTATGGGCATATAACACAGTACCTAGCTTTTTGTGTTGATGCTGAGATCCGAACTTGGGTCCTTAAGCTTGTACAGACAGCACTTTTACCAACTAAGTAACACCCTAGCCCTTTTATCTTTCTTTCTTATTCTGGGCTTAGAAAAGATCATCCTTCATCCGCTTGCTCCCTTGTTCTGAGCTGCCTCATCTCCTCTCACCCTTCTGCAGAGCTGGGATCCTTAAGGCTGCTTTGAAGCATCTCTCCCTGACCCTGCCGCCCCCATAAGTCTCTGATGAGAAGACCAACTGAAGTGAGATCACACCCACCTTTCAGCTGCTTCCTCAGGGGTTTGTTTGCCTCAAGCCATCTCTGTGGAGTGAGAAAACATCAGCTATGAAACCAACCCAAGCAGGCAAGCAGCCCATCCACCCCCACCCCAGGGTTTCCCTGGGTAGCACTGGCTGCCCTCAAACTCATAGAGACCTGCCTGCTTCTGCCTCCCTGCGCACTCACATGGCACATCTTACATGTGAACACTTACAGGGGAGTCCACTGGGTCATCTCCATGTTGCAAGCCAAAGTACTCCTTCTCCGTTACGCCCAGGTGACCGTATGCCAGATCCAGAAGGGACTGGCCCAAATCTTGTTTCTAGATTAAAAACATCAAGTGGAGAAAGTGTTAAAATGAACCAAGAACTAGAAGTAACAACATTGATTTCATGAATATACACTTCCCACAGTAACGAAAGCATTAATAAATTTCAAGTTACAAGGCTGCAAAGAGGGACACAGAAGTAGGGTTAAGACAAACTACATAAATATCACTGAGACACTCTGAATTTAGGGGAGCTTAGGAATTCAGGAGAAAAATAAGTCAGTAGAGTGCTTCCCTTGCAAACATGAGGACCTGGGTTCAATTCTCCACAGCCCATGTGTGTATGTGGGGAAGACACATCCCTGGAACTTGCTGGCCAAGCAGCCTAGCCAAATATGGAAGCTCCAGGTTCAGTGAGATCATGTCTCAAAAAACTAAGCAAGGGGCTGGAGAGATGACTTGGTGGTTAAGTGCTTCCGGAACTTGCAGAAGACTGAAGTTCCTTTCCTAGCATGCAAGCTGGGCAGTCAACAATGCCTACCTATATGGTGGTGGTGGTGGTTGTGGTGGTGGTGTGTGTGTGTGTGTGTGTGTGTAACACTCTCTTCTGTCCTCTGATTGCATGTGCAGTAGTAACACCCAGACACAGAAATAAAAATAAGTCTTTATGGTGGTGCACACTTTCAATCCCTGCACTCAGGAAGCAGGGGCAAGCCCATCTCTGTGAATTCAAAGCCAGCCTGGTCTACAGAACGAGTTCCAAACACACTGAAACCCTATCTTAAATTAAAAAAAAAATGGATTAGATAGGTGATAGGTGGATAAATGACAGATAGATGGATGGATAGACAGATATAGATAGAATGTTGTAAAAATAAAACTAAGGAAAAGAGTAATGAAGGAAGACACCCAAAATCGGCCTCTGGCTTCCACCTGCCAGCCATTCTGGCCGACTAATGAAGCTGCAGGCCAATGAGACTCTGTGATGGCTTCTTAGAATTTGGCCTCTACATGCATGGACCCACACATGCACTCGAAGACACACACGTACCCATGCGCGCACACCCATTGCTCTGTGAGCTTAACTTAGCTTTCTTAAGTTGCTTCCACCCCTTAGCTGAGGTTCTCCAGTGACTTCGAAGTTGGAAAACTCACACATTATACAGTAAACACGCCATGACCTGCTGCGGATTACCCACAGCAAATGCTAATCCCGGGTCAGCTCCTGTTGGCTGCTGGGGGCCCAGCTGCAGCTTCTTCCCCTGAAGGAGCCCAGAGGGTGTGCAAGGAGGAAAACTCTCCACTAACAGCTAAAAATACTCGAATGCCATCCAAAATACCCTCAAAGTGACTTGGCCTGTGTCCGCCTGTGGGATTATCTGCCCTGCTGCTTCTCGTCATCTGAAGTGAGAAGCCGGTCGGGACATTTAGCCACACTTCACCCCCGGGTGGGACTCAAGAGGCCTGCACCAGTGTTTATGGGACAGCCTGCTGCGGGCACTGGGATGGTGCCACAGCAAGCACCTCTTTACTCGCTTGGCTGCAGAGGTGGTGACTAACATGGACTGTCAAACGCTCTCAAGTGCTTTGAACCGGTCAAGACACAGCAGACAGATTTCTTAGAGGACAGGACACGCAATGGGGTCTGCCCGGGGACAGGGAAGGGGAACCCCCCTGTGTTTACAGGGATGACAAGGTGGACTGTCACCCCTTCCATCTCTCTAGGAGGCCCCAGTTTGAATCTGACGGCACAAACAAAAGATAGCTGGGGGTGGGGCGAAACAATGAAGACAGCAGGGAGCAAGGCCTCGGCAGACTTCAGATTCTGTTTTAGGAGGTAGCCCTCCCGGGAGAGCTTTGAACTCAACCCATTTAACTCTGGACAATGCGAGTCAGAAATAGGTATAGAAGAGGCCCTTTCCGGGAGCTTCTGAGAGCGGGGAATGTGGGGAAAGTGGGTCGCAGAGACCAGGGTGGGAAGAATGAGGTAACGTGGGCACACTCCTGCAGCCACTTTTTCCACGTGACTCCACGGGATATGCATGAACACAGGCTTGCCTGTTTCCAGAATGCACCACCTGTCTATCCTGAAAGCCTCTGGGCTTGGCACCATCTGTCACAAGAGAGTCTCCATGGGTAAAAAACAGTACAGCCCACCCATTCCCACAAGTTACCAGATACTTGTGTGTGTGTGTGTAGTCATGGGTACGCTCACTCAGACAGTGTGTGGAGGCCAAAGGCTGACGCTGAAATAGCTTCACTCACATCCTACCTCATTTTGGGGACAGAATTTCTCACTGAACCTAAAGCTTTGAGCCATGCTGGCTGGCCAGTGAGCCCTAGGGGTGCTCTATCTCTGCCTCCTATCCTGACCCCAGTGCAGGGGTAGAGCCAGCATGTAGACCAGTGCTGGGGATCTGCACCCCCATGCTGGTACCCTCTGACCATCTCCACAGCCCATGAGACAGTCTCCTATCTTCTCACCTGACTGTAATTATTACTTCGACACTTTGGAATGTCAGTCATGTACCTTTGGTTTATTATGTCATTGGTAACTAATTTATTGAACACCTGGCAAAGACTCGCTGGCACACTCACTTCCCTGCAGCTCGGCAAAGGAGCCCTCCACATCTGCCTTGCCACGGAGAACCAGACACTGAGAGGCGCCGTGCCTGGCATACCCACAAAATCAACCAGGAGCTACGTGACCATCTGACTTGCATCTGCACAACAGCAGAGCTCAACTGAGCCTCTCATCTCTGAACGGCAGAATCCAAACATTCAGGTGTCAATTCTGCTCACTTCTGTTAGTTCCCAAAGGGATTAAAACAGATCAAAGCCAGGTGTGGTGGCACACACCTTTCATTCCAACACTCAGAGGTAGAGGCAGGTGGATCTCTGTGAGTTTGAGGCCAGCCTGGTCTACATATTGAATTCCAGGCCAGTGTAAAGGCCAGTGTGCCCAGGATGACCCAGGAGGCTCCAGCTGGCCTCCCACCCCCATCCCTGCTGGGACGTTCTCTGACCTCACCCATCTCTGGCTCTCCTCCGTCAGGGCTCATGCCGCTCCAGGTGTACCAGCCTTCTACCATACGGGTCCCAAGGCTTGTTAGGCTTGGTGGCAAGCACCTTCACCAACTGAGCTATCTTAGCCTTCTCTTTCTTGAGCTTTTTGATATAATAAATAACACTTCCCATCTTCAGTAGAGCAAAGAATGGCTGAAGAACAGGACAGTGGGAAGCAGGACAGTGGGAAGAAAGGCTGGGAAATAAGTCTCCATGAGTGCTGCTGAGGACAGATATTCTCACGCCTACAGTATGGGGCAGCTCCCCTGGCCCTGGTTTGGAAGAATTGAAAACTGCCTTTTGCCTACACCAAAATCATTAATGGTGGTGAGAAGAGAGAAAGGGACAAAGACAGAGAGAGAGAGAGAGAGAGAGAGAGAGAGAGAAGGAGAAAGAGAGAGGGAGAAAAAGAGAAAGAGAGAAAGAACATGTGAGGAAACCCACAAGGGTGGTGGTGCAAGTCTTTAAGCCCAGCTCTTAGGAAGCAGAGGCAGACAGGTCTCTGAGATTTCCAGCCAGCCTAGTGTACACAGCAAGTTCAGCCAGCCGAGTATGTAGCCAAGTCCTTGTCAAAGGCGAAGGTGGGGTGAGGGAGCACTAGTAGCTGCAGCAGGTCTGTCAGTTTTCATTAAAGTCTAAGTGCTATGGCCTTTTCTGGCTAACCCCACCCCACTGTGTGTGTTTCTATGAGGCCCAGGCTGGCCTTGAACTTCTGCTCCTCCTGAGTCCACCTCCCAAGTGCCGTACCAAGCCCAACTCCTCTACCATCTTTCTCTTTCTCTGCACATATTTGAATAACTGGGGCACAGGTGACTTGGGGCTAGAATTGATACCATTAGGACTGAGAGACCCGGAGACGTCCCAGGCATAGGTGGTGGCTGGGTATGGAGCCAGCTGAGGCAGCTGCTGTCCTTGCCTATGGTAGCTGCTTACGTGAAGACCTGAGATCAAGGGCTCTGAGCAGGAGTCAGAGCCTTTAGGAGTCCTGCCATCCACAGAGGACAGCTGCCCAGTCCTGTGCCAAGACACCCATCCTGTCCTCAACGGGTTCACAGTTTAGTAGGACACTTATATCCTAGCAATTTTTACTATTTTTAAAAACACGTGAGCTCTAATAAATCATGAATAGAACATAGTCATCCAAGGACCAGATCTACCTAGGGAGAGTTGGGGGAGATGGGACAACATCCCAGACACATCAACACTGGAAGACAGCAGCAGGTTCACATTCCTAAGAAGAATTGAGACAGGGGCAAAAGTTTCCATGCCCAGCCCCATCTCACCATTTGAGATGTGAAATTTCGAACTTTCATTGTTCAGTTAATCCCTTTTTCATTCTGTAAACCAAGAACTTAAAACTATTTAAGAAGATTTAGGCAGGCAAAAAAAAAAAAAAAAAAAAGATGAAGAACTTACATTAACTTTAAAGGTCTGTACCAAGCCATCTAAAAAGCGTATGCTGCAGATGACCTCAGATCGAGTTTTCTCTTTGGGTAACTCAGAGGTTCGTATATTATTAATTCTTCCACCCAACGCACGTAACCGGGAGGTCATAACGACCGCTGAGTAACCTGCAATAGAAGACACTTGTCAGTGCTTTCAAATGCGAAAAGATCAGGCCCTCCACAGCTCTTCACTCGGGTCAGCTTGGGTCCTCACAGCTTCAGCGGCAGAGCCCGCAGGTCGGAGGAGAGCAGGGTAATAAACCATCCTTCCATTTCAGCTTTGCCTTATAAGATGCTCTAATCCAGCAATTCTCAGCCTGTGGGTCACAGCCCCTTGGGGAGTCAAACAACCTTTTCACACGATGGCCTAAGACCATCGGAAAGCACAGATATTTACATTAAGATTCATGACAGTGTCACAGTTAAGCATGAAGTAGCAAAGAAAGCATATGGGTGGGGGTCACGACATGAGGAACTGTGTCAAGGGGTCACAGGACCAGCAAAATCTGTTGCTGAAGATGTAATAATACCCTGTTAGGTCAAGAAATACATGGCTTATTTATTTGTTTGATCTGTTATCTCCTAGGTTGGACCTTCTAATTTTCTAGTGCATAATTCCTACCTTAAGTATTTGTATGTTTTGCAAAACTAAGCATGAAATAAATATGATGTAAAACATGAAAAGGCTAGTTATAAGTTATATTCAAAATAAGAACGTCAACTTTTTTGGTTTAAGCTACTTCTTTATAAACACTTTTTAAAAATATTGTTTATAGTGCTCACTTTGGCAGCACATATACTAAAAATATTGTTTAAAATTTTTAAAAAGGAAGAACTTTTAAAAAGCTGGGTACAGTGGTGCATTCCTGTAATCCTAGCACTAGGGGAGGCGAAAGCAGGTAGATCTCTTGTGAAGTTTGAGGCCAGCCTGGTCTATAAAGCAATTCCTGGACAGCCAAGGCTACAAATAAAAACCCTGTCTCGGGGCTGGAGAGATGGCTCAGCGGTTAAGGGCACTGGCTCTTCTTCCAGAGGCCCTGAGTTCAATTCCTGGCAACCACATGGTGGCTCACAACCATCTATAATGAGATATGCTGCCCTCTTCTGGCTTGCAGGCATACATGCAGCTAGAATACTGTACATATAATAAATAAATCTTAAAAAAAAAAAAAAAAAAACCCTGTCTCAAAAAACCAAGAAGAAAAAAAAAAAATAAGATTTATTACATTTTGGCTGGAGAGATGACTCAGCAGTTAAGAGCACACACAGCTCTTGTAGAAGACCAAAGTTCTATTCCTAGCACCCACATCAGGCAGCTCACATCTGTTAATCCCAGCTTCTGTGAATCCAATGCCTTGTCCTCTTCTGGCCTCTGAGGGCACTGCCCATATCCATACTCACATAAGTGCATAAAAAAATAATCTAAAAAATAATAGTAAAATATTTTCTTTTGGAAAAAAAACTGAAATAAAAGCCAATCACTTGTCAAGGAAATGCAAAGTAAAACCACAAAAACAAAGTCCCACAGGCCCAGTACAGGACTATGGTGTAAAATGGACACCACTGTGGAAAGCATACAGCTGTCCTAACTTTCTCTCTGAGCCACTACACAAAAACATAAGTTAAGCTTTGGGGAAGCTGTTGGGGAGTATCTCTACCAAACAGAACATACGCATGTTCTGTGATATGACAATCTTATTCCTACGTGTGCGCCTAACATAACAACAACATATCTCATTCACAAAAATATTTGTGCAAGTCTCTTCGTAACACAACCAAACTGGAAGAGACCTAAGTTTCCATCGGCTGCAGGCTGGCTAAACCACGCCACTCTTGGACCATGCACCTGTATGCAGCCAAGTGCAGAAATGAATCCCTGCTGCGTGCAACACAGGATTTCCTTCAACGCTACTTCGTGTGAAAGAATCCAGACACAACACATTACCTACAGCACAACCCCAGGCAGAGAAAGTTTAAAAACAGGCAAAACTAATAACGCTTGTAGGAGACAGGCTAGTGGCTGCTTCCGGATGGCATAGAATGTCCGTGTGTGTGTGTGTGTGTGTGTGTGTGTGTGTGTGTGTGTGTGTATGCCGGTAAGGTCCACAGGGATGGAGGCTGTGTGACTTCCTGCATCACTCCACTTTGCTTTTTTACATCTTAAAAATGTAAAATAATTTTTTTTTACATTTTTTTAACATAAAAAAAGTTTTTTTTTACAGTTAAGTGCACACACACCACAGTAAGCATGCTGAGACCAGAGAACAACTTGCAGGGGACAAGGGTTGAACTGGGTCCCAGGGATTGTCAGGCTTAAGGGCTGATGCCTTTACCTGCTGTGCCATCTCAGCAACCCCAACCCTCCATCTTTAAATCAACGAGCTACCTGATTAACTTTGAGGCAGGCCTCTCGTTGTAGCCGGAGATCACTGATTCAGGTAGACAAGGTGGCCTGGCCCACTGTTGGAATTATAGATATGTGATGCTGCACTTGGCTTTCTGAGTAAGGGCAAGGGATCCAGACTCTGGCCCTCACACTTGTGTGGCAACTATTTACCAGCTGACACATCTCCTGGGCCCTTGAAGTGCTTTTAAGAAGGAAGCATCAGGATGGGCGATGGTAGCTCATGCAGAGGCAGGTGGATTTCTGTGAGTTTGAAGCCAGCCTAGTCCACAAAGTGCCTTCCAGGACAGTCAGACCTACTGTAATAGAGAACAATTTAAAATCTGGCCACCGAGTTTTGGAAGAGTGAAGAAAATGGTTTTACTATCAAGCTCAATAGTGGAATGGCAGAGTAAAAAGACTGAAGAGATTTGCAACTGAGCATATGGCCACAGCAGCCCTGCTGATGTGCTAGGGCTCTAGGCCATAACAGAGAATGTAGGAAGCATAACTCAGCATGAGAAGGAAGAAGATGGAACTAAGGAGTTAAGTGGAAATGCAAATGCAAATGATGGCTGTAGAGTGCAGGGGCGGCCTCCTCTGCTTATGCTGTGTTTTCCTGCTCTACACAAGCACCGCTCTCTCAGGAAAGCCTTCCTGGGTCTCCCAGCCAGTCACACAGGGTGTTATGGAATCTCATGATTGTGCTCACTGTAATTCTTCACTTAGCACTAATGGTGTGTGTTTCTAGCTGCATTTCCTACTAGACACCAAGCTCTATGAGAGTAGGAGTAAGGTCTGCTTCTGCTCCCTGCACTTCTGACACCCAGCTCTGATGGGCAATCCATTAAGTACCTGAGTAAACCAACAGATGCACAGAAGATATGAGACAGAAAATAAAGTCATAAAAGTCTGAAAAAATATTAGAATGGGACAGGCAGGGCTGGAGAGATGGGTCAGAGGTTAAGAGCACTGGCTGCTCTTCCAGAGGTCCTGAGTTTAATTCCCAGCAACTGAAAGGGTTAGACTAACTTTGTAACCTGTATGTCTTCTAAAGCCTATAGTTTTGAGTTTTAGGTTTAGGTTAAGCTAAAGCCTCTTAGTACCTTTCCAGAGAATGGAAAAATGTGACCCTATCTATGAGGACAGATAGAAAAAACGGCAAGCAAGCAATGACCTTCACTCAGCAAAAAGAAAAACTCCTGTCTTTGAGATAGCATTTCTTAGCAACAAACCTAGACTTCTGAGTAGCTTTTGACCTCCAGCCAAAAGTCTGCAGCCCCTAATCTTCAAGGATGAGCTAACCACCCCCACCTTCAATTGCAGCTGCATCCACACTTGGCAGGACTGGCCAAGCTTGAGCACCTAAGACTAACCAATTATCTTACTTTATAGCTTCCTCATCCAATCCTAAATTGCCAAAACTGCAACTTCAAATCTCCCGCAATTTTTCTTTTAAAAACCTAAAGGCCTTTGTCTCCCGGTGCCACTCTTTGCTGACCGGCAGGGGTGACCCCATTGCACAATGGTTAATAAACCTCTTACTTTTGCAACGAGTCTTGGTCTGGGGGAGTTTCTGGGAAGGGCACGATCTTGAACTCCTGAGCTGTGAGACCCCAGGTCTTACACAACCACATGGTGGCTCAGTCATCTAGAATGAGATCTGGTGTCGTCTTCTGGCATGCAGGCATACGTGTAGGCAGAACACTGTACTCATAATAAATAAGTCTTTAAAAAAACTCAGGCTGACTAGAACAGGCAGGATAGAAGAGTGAGAGTGGGCAGAGTGGAAATGTCATTCAGTCCAGTGCTTCTCACACTGCAAGATGAGAAGACGGTGCAGGATTGGACCAAAGTGCAGCAGTTCCGAGTATGTTCTGAGCATTTGTCTGCACCTCTTAGAGGTGATGATCAAGTTATTCATCCAGGGTTTGTCTGTTCTGGGGGGAAAAGGCACAGACACTCAGAAAGATAGCACCAAACGCCACGGCAGAGCCAAAGATAAAGACCGGGGCTGTAGGAAGAGAGATGTGTGTCACTCAGCTGTGGGAAGGAGGGCAGAGCAGAGCAGAGGCTAAAAATCAAACCTCTGGAACAGCAGGAACCACAGACCAAGTTCAAGAAGATGACAGAAGGTATGAGGTGAATCCATATCAATAAATTTAAAGTGCTCTAGATAAAGTTCTGTAGCCAGCCAGGGATGGGAAATCTCAAATATTAATTTAAAAAATAAAATCCTGAGACTGGCATTGGGGAAAAACAAAACAAAACAAAACACTCAATCACAGAATTTCCACCCACCCACCACCTCCACCATGCCCTTTTCAATAAAAATGTCACTGGAATCAGGGATGCATTTTCTGAGTAATAAAAAAAAAAGTTATCAAAAGACAACAAATGTGTTCCCAAATGCTCT